TATTTAAAATTTTGGCTGTGTGTTTGCTGCATAGTGGCACGTTTAGCAAAAACAACAAACACACCAAACCCATCCTTTATTGCTTTCATTCTACCTCTGAGACAAAGGTTTGTGTCCAGGAAAGAGCAGCATGAAGGTCAAAGGTTTGTGTTCAGGGAAAAGCAGCGTGAAGGTAAAGCAGGTAAAGGAGGTCACTTCACCCTCCCCACGTGTGGGGAAGGATCTGAGGCTGCTGGAAATCCATTTTTCTCCAGGGATCAACGATCCACAACAAAAATCTCATGCTCAAGGTCGATGGGTACAGTGGGAATTCGGGGAACTCTGCACTATATTAATGAATATATTGCGTGTGCACGTGCTGGGGGCTGGGCAGCATTGTTTTGTAGCAGTACAGTGACAGTTCTGTTTTTAATGGAAATAATGTTCATTTTAAGCTTCTCCCGTGCGTGTAGGGATGGGTGGCAGTTCTGGAGCTCCTGGGGTCACACCTGGCTGCCCCCTATGCCAGGCAAAGCAGTGTCTGGGGTCCTGTGTTCCTGGGATGGGCACCTGGGCCAAGGCTGAGCACAGGGAGGTGTCCAAGGAGTTTTTCTGGGGTTTTTCTCTGCAGTTGTGGTTCAGGGGGTGTCGGTTCAGTCCCTGGGTCTGTTACAGACACAAGCACGGCCTTGGCTGAGCTGTTGATCTGCTCCTCCTCTGTAAATGAGGGTTCACAGCCTTTGAATTTCCCTCCCCTACCTGTTGTGGTTGTAGACCCTCAGTGCCCTCAGTGCCCTCAGTGCCCTCAGTGCCCTCAGTCCCTGTGCTCTTCCTCCCTGGGAGGAAGCAGAGACCGCTCTGAGAACTGGGTTCCTCATGGCTTTAGCCTGAACTGTAGCTCTATTAGTACAAAGATAAACATAATTTAAATTCAATTTGACCTTAAGTGGCAGCTGGGACAAAGCGTGGCATGTTTGAAGTCTGGATACAATTATTTGGAATTGCTAAACGCTGCACTCCAATCCTGACCTTTCCCTGGCACCGGAGCCAGAGGAGGGCCCTGACTTTAACTTCTGAACTGCAAATCACCCCGTTGGAAAGAGCCTTCAGAAGCCATTATAATCACAGGGAATGTCGGAAAGTGTGTAGAAGCTATAAGCAAAATATTTATTTTACACACTCGTCTGCATTTAATCCATAAATCTGTCTACTACGAGAGTGTTTTACTGGTGTAGAGGAGACAAGTAAGCTGAGATCATAGCAGACATGTCCTATAAGGCTTTACTGGAAATCATTGCTTTTTAATCCCTTTATCCCTGTTATTTCCTACCACTGTGAAAATCCAGCGGCAGGGAAAGCTGGCACAGTGTAGGACAGATGCATAATGTGTAATGCTAAGCAGGCAAGAATCCTTCTGTTTGTGTAATGCTCCAAACACATTAGAAATGTCAGTGTTAGTGCTGCGTCCTACATAAATAAAAATAAATTATCAATACTCAGCCCCGTGTTCCACACCTTTGGGATAACCTTGTGGCATGTGCTGCCTTGATATCAGCAACTAATCTTCTAAGCAGTGTAGTGGAAGATGTCCCTGCTCCTGGCAGGGGGGTTGGGATGAAGTGGTCTTTAAGGTCCTTTCCAACCCACCCCATTCTCCATGATAATTGGAGCTAGCCAGGAGAGTTGAGCTGGACTAGTTGATATGAAGAGCAGGTACCACCCAAGTGGGCTGTAAAAGCTGAGTTGTGTGCTTCATGGAGTATAACACCCCATCTCACACCTTTAATTTTTAATTTCCTTTGCATTATTTCTTCCCTGCATAAACACTGCAAACACGCTTAGGCACTGGAATGGAGCTGGAATGTCCGGAGGGCATCTAGAAATATCCAGGTGCGTGATTGCTTCCCTGATCTTCCCATTAAAGCCTCCTCCAGGCTGTGGTACAAATTTAATCAGCTGAGCTGCATCCTGGAGCCCTGGAAGGTGGCTGGTCAGGGCACAGTTGGAGGTGTCTGTACCAGGGTGGGAGTGGCTGCAGTTGAAGTGCTCGAGGAGGGCTCGGGGCATTGGGACACAGTGCCAGGGGTTTGGGAAGGGGGCAGTTCACGGGAATTTCTTTTCCTTACATGTCTGTTTGGCAAGGAAATGTTTGTGGATGCTGTGGCTGTGAGAGCAGAGCTGTGTGTGAGGGATTTGTGTGAGCAGCAGCAACAGTTCCCTCCCAAAGGGAATCCCAGTGATTCCAGGTCATCCCGCCCCGCTGGTGCCGAGCCAGGACAGAGCCTGTGCCCAACACCCAACTGCTCCTCTTTGCTTCAGGGGCACCCCCAATCCTTTGGGTTAGAAAGTGTTCAATCAAAAGGATCAAAAATTGTGTGTTTCTCTCTTGTTGCCCAGAGGAGCTGTGGCTGCCCCGTCCCTGGAAGTGTCCAAGGCCAGGTTGGAGCAACTTGGGCTAGTGGAAGGTGTCCCTGCCTATGGCAGAGGGTGGCACTGGATGGGCTTTGAGGTCTCTTCAGTTGTGGGATTTTATGATTCCATGATTCTCCTGCTCTCCAGGGAGGAGACTGGACTGATGGCTCTTCCGACATGCTGAGTGGAACACAATTCCTGTTGGAATCAGAAGTTTCATTGTCCTGGAAATAGAAGTGCAACAAGGCCTGATCTTTGCTCACCCTGGTGCCTCCTGGCCCAGCAGTGGGACAGCCTGTCCTTGCACACCCCCCCAGCATTCCCCGTGTCCGTCCTGTCCGTGCAGGATCCTGGCACGGAGTGACCCCATCCCTGCTGCCCCCATCTCCTCCTGCAGCAGCCAAGGGGGTTGGTTGCTGTTTCTGCAGTTCAGGGCTGCAGGTTGGAGCCAATTAATGTGAGCACAACCTCCTCCCCGTGTCATTAATCACCAGGACAAAGCCTCAGAGTCCCCTCTTCCTCTCTCGCCCTGTTAACACTCCCTGTGATTTCCTGGCAGCTCTGCCAGAGCTCCCAGGCTGGAGCCCAGCTCTTCCAAAGGGGCAGCTGTGGGGACACAAGCCCACCTGGATAAATTAGAATTTATCTGATCTGTTAATCTGGAGCAGGAGAACACATGGAGCATCAGGGCAGAGCCAGTTCAGGATTCTGACAACAAAAATACGGGTTCTTTCAGCCAGAATAATTTAAAACAATGGCTCATTTCTGTGCTGTTCCTGACATTCAGGAGAAATTGTGGGAGAGTGACAGGTTCTCGGGCTGTTCTCTCTGACTTTAAAACATGGGCCTTAGGAAATGACTTTGTACCTAAACAACGAGCAGTTTTCCAATTATTTTACTAAATAAATATGAGTATTCTGTAGGAACAGCTGTGACTCTCGGAAGGTATTTTTCCATAAGGTAAATTCAATCAAAGGGAATGTGCTGCTTTTAGATAATGTTCCAGGGTTGAATGCAGAGAGCAGAGCTGAGCTGGGATGCTGAATCCCAGAGCAGAGGAGCCCTCGAGCCCCCACTGCTGCAATGGCCCCAGATCTCCCTCTGCCCCCTGCCAGCTGTGACTCCTGGATTTCCTACAGCCCCTCCAGCTCCTGCACTGCTGAGAGTTTGATTCAAAGGGATACAGACAGTTTGCACTCCATGTTGCATTTCAGCATCCCACTGTGCACATCACTGGCAGAGGTTGGGATATTGGATCACAGGGTGGTTTGGGTTGAAAGGGACCTTAAAGCCCATCCAGTGCCACCCCCTGCCATGGGCAGGGACACCTTCCACTAGCCCAGGTTGCTCCAAGCCCCGTCCAACCTGGCCTTGGACACTTCCAGGAGTGGGGCAGCCACAGCTTCTCTGGGCAACCTGGTCTATGGAGAACAAACCCCTCTGGAGTTGAGCTGTGTTTGGCCACCCTCAGATAAGAAGTTTGTGGCAGGGCTGAGAGCTGAACCCAAAGGTTTTGAGTCACCAATCCAGGACTGGTTGGTCACCCAAGCCTGTTAATCTTCACAATACATTTAGAGGTTTGTAGGTCCAAGCTGGTTCTGTGGAAACCTGCTGGGGGTGGATGAGCAGAGCTGCCTCCTGCTGCACTGGCTGTGCCTTCCTTATGGGAACCTTCCAATCCCAGAGGAGAGGCTGCTGGGCAAGGCTACCTCTGTATTCACGTGCTGTGCTGTGGGGTGATGTCCATCATCCCAGGAGGACCACTGAGTACCAGGCACTTGGGTCAAATTCCAGCCGAGTCCTACACCCAAACTCTTTGATCTGGGAATCCCCACAAGGACACCAGTGGCCTCCTGGACACCTGGTTGCCTGTGAGGAATGTCAGAGCACAGGCTGAGGGTAAACCCAGCAGAAGAGGAAAATATCAGTGAAAAGGCTGAGCTTCCTGTGCATTTTTAAAGCATTTACTAGAACTTAACAGAGCATTATTTCCCTCGCTAAGCAGTGATCAGATGCCTGCAAGAGCACCTTCTATAGATCCTGCTCCTATAAAACCTAATTGGTTTCATATCTTTTAAATTCTAAAGGCCTTTCTTTAGAGTTGTGGTTTGTTGGTTTTTTTTTTAAAAATCAAGTAATAGATTTATTCTTGATGTCTTGAGCACATTATTGCAGTAACCTCATCCTTGGACCACAGCTTTGGCAGAACACACACATCCATAATGAGGGACTGCGTGTTCTGGGGAGGTTTTATTACAAAAGAAGTGGACAAGTATATTAGGAAGAAAGGGGGAAAACAGAGAAGACTGGTTTTTTGGCCAAGCTTTGTATTACAGATCTCATTTCTCTGGTTGCAGCTGCCTGGAGGCTCCCATTCCAGCGAGCTGCTCTGTTCTGCTGAGCTGGAGATGCTTCCCAAATTTGCTCTTTGGTGAAACAGGCACTTGTGCAGGTTCCCCATAAAAATGACTGATTTGGGTTTTACCAAGAGCTCTGGAACTGCTCCAGTACAAGAAAGAATTACATTTATAGAGAGGTTTATCAAGATAGGAATAGTGGAACAAACATTTGAAATGCCCGGTGTAATCCTCTGTCTTCCCCCAAACAAGCCTCCCTGGGCAGGATTTGCAGCTGTTCTGGAATGAAAGGAACCTATTTCCCTGTGGGACTGCCCAGCTTTCAGCCCTGCTTCTGGGGGAAGGTAAGAGAGCTCTGTTTTCATTTACTATTTATGAGATGTGCATTCAGATTTCCAAGTGACCACGGGACTCGGTGCTTTTAAGAATCTGCAAATGAGATGAAGCTCATTATTTTTTAATGTGAAAGGGATTATTGCAATGGGAGTGCAGGGATATGTAACCTCAGAGCTGGGGCTTGCTGGGGGATGGATTTGGAGGCTTTTGCTTTAGGAAGCCAATAAAGAGCACACAGGATTTCCCAGTCATTCTGCTCAGCATCTAAAAGCAGTGTTTATTAGAAACAACACTAAAGGGGATTTTTTGTTTAAATGCAGACTAGGACTTGTAGGAAATTGCCCTCCTTGTGTGTGCATTTCACTGTACAGTGTTGAGAGAAATGCAGGGGCACGTTACCAAAATAAATCTTTTTCTTAATAAGCAAAAATTCCTGGTTGTCCCCTCCTGCCCCCATGGACCAGAGCCGGGCTCAGGGTCCCAAGGGAAAGCAAGGGCTGAAAGCACAAATCCAGAAATCACAGGAGCAAGTTGGATTTGTGCTGCTGCCCCAGCCCTCCCTGCAGGTCACACACAAGGTTTGTGCACAACCAGAATGTTTTTCAGGCCTGTGTGTCTGAGCCAGAGCTGTCAACAGGTGGCAAAGGCACCTGCAGGAGCAGGCTCTGAGTTATCAACGTGTCAGCGATGGTTGGAGCTGTTAAAGAAAACAGTGAATTTGGGGGAAGCAGCAGAGCTTTGCTGTGTGGGGGAAGGATGGAGGGGCATTGAGCAATTGAGCAGCTGCCAGGCACTTCCCAGAGCCCTGGGAATGCCATCCCTGCTCCCAGCAGCAGCCTGGGATCTGCAGGGAGGAGGCACAGGACACTGAGATGCCCCTGCACACCACGGCTTCTGCCTCCTCTCCAGGGCAGTCAGGCAGCATTTATCCAAATGTCCTCAGGGAATTGGTGACCAGCTGCCAGGGAACAGGCACTTAAAGTCCTGAGGTGCTTTTTAAGACCCCAGACTAATTTCCTTGCCTGTGTTCCTGCTCTCCTGAGCTCATGCTCCACAAATGCAGTAATTGCAGGCATTTGTTTCGAGCCGCACGAGCCTGAGCTCCGGAGCAAGTTTTATTTACTGCAATTATATCTGGCAGGTAATTTCTAGTAAAGCCAGGGAAATGATAAACCTCTCACTAAATCCATGAACAGAAAAATAGGGCAAATTGATCAAATAAAAGCTGTTTCCTACCTAATAAAAAAATTATTACGTGCATAACATCCTGGAACAGAAATAGCTCTGATGAAACCACGAAGACAAGCAGGAACCTGCTAGAGGCATCTGTGCAGGGTTTTTAAATTTGGGTCCACTCCTAGCAAAGAGACTTAGAATCTCCTAACCATGAATTATTATTATTTTACCCTTTGATGGTGGTGGAGCTGCTCCCGCTGTGCTCGTCCCTTGTGTCACAGATGAGTGATTTAGGTCCCTTAAAGAATCCCTGACAAAGGTATTGGCAAAAAGGGATTTAATTTGAGTTTGTAAAGTGTGATTTAACAAAGTTGGATGGCAAGTTTTAGTCTATCATTTACTGCATGGATGAAACCTGCAGAGGGAAATGGAATTAGAATTGATTTAGAATGATTTACACAGAGACCGAAGAGCCAGAAGGGTCAGGGAAACCCTCCTGTTGAGTCTCGAGGTGCAGGGTAGAATTTCTTTCTCATTTGTGTTTGGATAAGGGGAAAAGACAGCCTGGGACATGACAGCATCCATTTGGACAGGTTAAAGAAAGCTTAAAGCAGAACTGGACCCTTTTGATTTCCACAGCAATATCTCTGCATTCCCCCCTCATGGAGTGTGTTAAAAGCATTCCCAGGGCAGTGGTTGCAGGAGCTGCCCCAAGGTTAGGGAGGCCACAGACTGTAATATACAGCGTTCCCATTTTCCAGCTTAAAGCATCCCTGTGTGTGACTCCATGTCACTTCATGCCTCATTATCCATCCCCATCTGTGGGCTGAGGGAAGCTCTGTCCAAGCCTGGGTTGGGAAGCAGGGCAGAAATGGGAGATGAGGAAGGGCTGCTCATCACCCATGGAAAGGCTCTTCTCTGGATCCTCCCTGGTGCTCCCCAGATTCCCAGACAGAGAACAGTGTCACTCAGAGGCCCATCTATTCCTCCTCCTTTGGAGTGAATGGTGACCAGGAGTGACAGGCTGAGATCTGGGCATGTGGCACCCATCCTGTGGCACCTCCATCCTCCTCCCAGTGCCTGCTGGCCAGTCTGGGCATGACTGATTCCAGCTGGTCTCTGCTTGCATTGAGGTGGGGAAACCAGGAGATGTGTCACTTTGGGAAGAGCTCTGCCCGTTCTCTGAGACTGTTGGGTTTGCCCTGCCCAGCCCTGGTGGGAAGGTGGCACTAAGCTCGGCTTTGCCAGGCTGGCCTTGTGCAGGTTTGAGGATTCTTTGTCCTTCTTATCATCTCCTGGGCACGGGGCCCTCCCTGAGCTTGAGTGATGGTTGATCCCTGTGAGGTTCCTGAACAAAGAGGAGCAGTGAGGGCGGGGATAACGCCCTGGCAGCCCGGCTGTGCACATCAGGATAACCCTCTATCCCAGATAACCCTCTGTCCCAGCTCATCCCTGCCTGGCTCAGCCTCCTCCGGCTGCACAGGGGCTGCTCCTGCTGGGTCTATGGCAGTGTGGGATGGAGGGGCGGGACAGGGGAGCAGGGAAGTGGTGGTCGATGTTCTGAGGGAAGGCTGGTCCCTCCCCTGCACACGATGTGCTCCTGCAGGATGAACAGGGACAGCCCGAGGGAGCTCTGCTCTCTGAGCATTGTCCAGCTCCACACTGAACCAGCCTAACCCTCACCCCAACCCTTCCCTGTGTCCCATCCCACAGGACACTGCTCCTGGTCTCCCCGGAAAGGTAAAGCAGATGTCAGTGTGTGATTCCAAGGGGAGCACCCCTGACACAGCACTGCTGGGCTGCCCACATCGAGGAGCTCCTTCCTTGGGCACTAAAATGAATTTGTGTTCCAGCTGTGCCAGGGGAGGGTCGTGTTGGATATCAGGAAAAATGTCTTCACTGAGAGAGTGGTTGAGCTTTGGCACAGGCTGCCCAGGGCAGTGGTGGAGTCACCATCCCTGGAGTGTTCAAACAACACTTGGGGACATGGTTTAGTGGGCATGGGGGTACTCAGGTGATGGTTGGACTTGAGGATCCCAAAGGTGATGATGCTGGGATTCTATGGAATCAGCAGGCATGCTTGGCTGGAAGAAAAACATCTGCAGTATCTTGTTAGAAATGCTGCTCTCTGGCCCTGCAGGAAGGTTTGGAAGGCATTGTGTGTTTGTTTAACTCACATATAATACTTCATAGTCCTGACATTCCTTGGGAAGGACATCTTAGGTACCTTACCTATTCCCCTGTTATATTCCTGCTGTTATATGTATCTCTTCCATCTCTTCCAGGCTCCATCCTTTTGAATGCTTGACCAAATTCATGATGAAATAAATTCTGTGTGTATTGCTAAAGTTTATTGTGCTGTGAAACATTGCACAGAAATCCTTTGTCTGTCCCGAAACTTCAAACAAATCTTTGCTCCTTTTAAAATAACCTTTGAAATGTTTTTCATCACAATGAGTGAAACAGCAAGAATAATAGATGTTGTAGGATTTGTAGCCACGATAGTTTCCTGCTTCTCCAAATGCTTTTGGAAATGCTGATTGATTTGTAACAAAGCTTGAAATGTCACCAGGAGGAATGAATGAAAAATGCACTGCTCTAATGTATGTTGAAGTTGAAATTGGCTCAAAGTTTTAACCTTTAGAGTTGCCTTTTTTTTTTCTTCCCTTTTTTTACCTTTTCACAGCAGTCAAATAGTTGGGAAGATAACTGGGAACAAAATACACATAGAGAAAATGAATAAATTATGCCCTTATTTTTGGCACATTTACAAGAGAGACATTTTAAAACTCCACTTCAATGACAAAAGAAAGGATTGCTCTACTTAGAGTAAAGCTGTTCAGTTTGGAACAGAGGGATGTGTGGTCTGAGGGATCCATGGCCTGGCTGAATTCTGCACGTGGTTTTCTTGAGAGGGGGAAAACCCCCTGACTGTGCCCACGAGCACCCTCTGAGCCTGTGGAGATGGCTCTGCTGGGGCTGGTCCAGGCAGGATGGGACCATTTGTGTCCTGCTCAGTGGTGGAAACGTGGCTGGGAGGGCGAGAGCCACGTGCTGGCAGCGTTTCCTCCCCAGCTGGTTCTGTTGGTCCAACTGGCAGCCAATGGATCGGGAGCTGGGGGGGTGTTTGGGCAGGAATAACAACAAAGCTTTGCCTGCTCTGGAATTTGCAGTAATGGGAACTGTAAACATGGTTTGAAACCCAGCCAGTGTCTGGTCCAGCAGGATGACCCTTCAGGGACGCTGAGGCTGCTGCAGGGCCACCAGCTCCTCTGTGCTTTGTCCCTGGGCCCTTTTCTCACTGCTCGTGTTCCAGTGCTCACAGAGCTCAGTGCATTGCCCTCCTCAGGTTAGAAATGGCTGCTGCTTTCTAGGACTTGCTGCTTTTTTTTTTCCCTGATGAATTTACTCACTGGAGTATAAAACATAATAACAAAAGCCTGGGGACCTGTCTCTGAAATCAGTCTGTGGTCGCTGCTGGCAGGGGAAGATGTGCAGCAGCTGGAGCTGCAGTGCTGGGACACGGCACTGCTTGGGCCTCACTCTCCCCTTCTTCTTCCTCAGTAGCTGCTGCTCTCTGGGCAGTTTTAAACCCAAATGGGTGCCAAGCAGTCAGGGGGACCGAGTGCATTCTGTTGTCACTGAGAACCAGCTCTGCTCACCCTCCCAGAGGTGTCTCCTCCTCCCTCCTCAGCAGAGCCCATGAGGTCCCATCGCTCGGCACATTCTCGGTGCTGCAGCAGGACAGTGTAAAACTGCTGCCAAATGTGGTGGTACAGCTTTTGCCCAGGATTTTGGGGCTGGAAACCAGGGCCTGTTTCTTCACCCAGCT